TTTTCCTCTTTTGGACGCAGAGACGGCCCATTCATTTGCCTGCTTTCAGTGAAGAGCCAGGGCACCTCTGTTGTTTCTGTGGCATTTGGGAATTCATCCTTCCCCAGCCATATCATCCTCACCTTTTAGATCTACAGCATCAGACTCTAGAGGCAACACAGCTAAAATCTTGTGAAGGCTGTGGTTAGAGAAAGGAACTTTGACGTTTCTTGGAACCTAGCTGTGTTTATAGGGACATTAGTAACTAGGGCCACTAGTTGAAACTGTCTCTGATTTCCCAGCAAGAAATATGGCTATGCTTGAGCAAGCCATTGACTGGGCTTTTCAGCACTGATGAACATTAATTCTAAATTTCCAGGCTTCAGTGTTTGATGTCTCAGTACAGTGTTGAATCACTGCAGATGATACCCATTTGCTGACTCTGTAGACTATCAAAATCGTATCTGAAGCAGGGGTTGAAGCCCAGAAGGCTGGAGGAGACTTCACCTCTCCACAGACTTTCTGCAGCAACAAAGCATGGGACTGGCCCAGCAGTCCTCACCCATCTGTGAGTCTGTACATCACAGCATCTCGTCAGGGATTAGTTTAAACGGAAATGTGCTAGACAGCTTGCTTTTACATCTCTTTGCCTGGGTCATGAACCACAACCGGCACAGTGTTGGCGACGTGTACCTCCTTGAACTATGCTCCATGTCCTGGTCTCCGCCTGTGTGCAACTAGGGGGTGGCTGGTTAGATTCCAGCCTCATAAGCTAATCGGTGGATATCAAAGGTTGTAACGTGCCAAGTTTCTGTTGGCAGCAGCTTTAGATCTGAGCTGCCAGAACAAGAAATGCCTCTGAAGCCAAAGGTTACCAGAGATCCCGCTTGCACTCCAAGAGCAGAGTCCTGCCAGTCAGTAATTGCCACACTGATGTGAAAGTGATGACTGCTTTACTCATTATCCTTCTCTTAGTTTAGCATTGACTGTCTGGATCTTACTTGGCAAGTAGATGCTTATCTGCCAAGCACTGCTAGTCTTGTCTTTTCTGAGCGTTCTTCTCATCTGATAACTTATTTTCCCTTTAACCCACAGTGCTATGTATTCTACATCAGTTCATTGCTGTACCTGTTCAGTAGCTTCTAAGTTCATCCAGAGCACAAAGAAAAACAAAAACCCAGTGGAATTTCTCTCTCAAGAGATCGGCAAGCTGGATCTCTGAGGAAGGTGCATTGGTGGGATCTTACCCATCTTCAGTTCCTGAACACCTGTCATGTAACAAGCGATGGTGATTGTGGACTTTCTGTCCTCTCTGGCAATTGGCCCTGGTTTCATCCCTGAACTCCTTTTCATGCCCGATTCCTCTGCTAGAACTTATATTCAGAGGGAATTGTGCGATTTTTGTACAAAAAGTGCTGCATCTTAGCATGTAGTTTCCTTTAGGCTTTAATAAGGAAGGATTGTTTCCAGGAGGAAAAGTGGGTCCAGTTCTGCCCTGGCAAAGGCTCAGATGTAACAGGATGTTCTCCTGGAATACACATGTGGGCTGGGCACTGACTGGTAGTGCTGTGGCAAGCAGGTAGCCAGTATCTAATGTGCCTTCACCTGGAGGTGAGTTCCAGGGAGACTTGTGTGCTCAGCTGCGTGCTGCTGGAATGCCACAAGATTCACACTTTAACTACCAATATGTATAAATTATTCTCTGTAATGTATAAAACATATTTGCCATCTTTCATAGGGTACATTTAATCTCAGCAGCATAGTTAATTAAATGCTGTCATGTTTGTGCCTAGGTAAGGCCCAGTAAGGGAGGGGGTGGCCAGTGTCATGGCGTGGTGTTTCAGGAAGCAGGAAATGCTGCATCACTTCCCCGGGGAATCAAATAGGCAGTGGCAATCACAGACTTGTACAAAAGGCTGGTAGCACAGGCACCAGGAAGACATTTGCAGAATGTCTTAGACAAACAATATAGAGACCTATATTATTCTTTCATAGGATTGCAACGAACCTTCAATCTTGCAAATATTTCTGCAGACTAATGGAGGGGATTGGACAAAAGGGCTGCCGGCTCAGCTGTTATACAACCCTTAAGCACTGAAACCATGTGCAATTGTTTTTAATGGAAAAAAATAAAATTGCATCCAGGGTTTTGCTAACCTTACCTAAGTAATAAATACAGTAGAATATTTGTTGTCTTTATAAAATTTAAAATTTGAATTTAAAAATAAGTTAACAATTTAATAATTAAAAAATACACAATTTTATGTGGGCATGTACTCACATACTAATCTGCCTTTTACCTCTCAAGTTAGAATAGAAAAATATTTAATAATAAACAACAGAGTTTGCAGTCTGTTAGTGATAGAGTCAGATAGAGTAGCTTGTGGAGGTAGAGCTGCAACAGGCGTATTTGCTCTGAGATTTAATCTAAAACAGATTGGCAACTCTTGTCTTAAAGAAAAACAGATTGGACAACTGTAACATAGAATAAGAGAAGGGCATGGCACAAGTTCTCCTTTATTCATAACTTCCCTTCAACCAGTCAAAAAGTGAAAACCATAAAGCTTGCAGTAACACTAATCTTGCTGGTCCCTCAAGCCTGTGGCATCATCTCAGTATAACTAACAGCTTCCATATGGGCAAGTGGCCCCTCCCTCTTGAGCTACAGCTGGGCACCTGAAAAGCACAGGATGAGAAAGCAAATAGTAGAAATGAAGCTGTGGACATGGATGTGTAAGTGACTTCCATCTGCTAAGTTCCTAACCCTAGAAGAAATAATAGCTCTGCCTTAAAGCATTTTAACTCTATTACTGGTTGGTTGGTTTTTTTTTTTCCTTTCCCAAAACATATAATAATAGAATTTTTATCTTTATTCCCACCTCACAATGGAGATAAATTTCCTCAAGGACATAATTTTCAGTGTGATTCTCATCCTTAAAAGAAATCGAGGTAACTATCTGTACTTATTATAGCTTACTCTTATTTCTCCTTCCCTCATGTCTTTGTTATGAAACTTACCTTCTTTGTCTTTCTAAACAGCTTTTATTTTTTAAGTTAGGCTTCCAAGAAACCCATTTTGTTTCAAGTCTGTCACTTTTCACTCTGTTTACATTTTCATAAAGAGATGAATGATTTTAAGTCATCCTTGTTTTCCAGGACTATCTCACTTGTTGCAGTGAAAATTGAACAACAAACAAGGTTGGGGAAAACTGGTGGGGCTTTCACCAGAGGGACTGTTAATAATATTCAAGCATAGAGTCAAAATTTCATTGCAGAGCAATTTGACCCTGTCGCTAAAAATATATGTTAATGCTGGTGATAATCTTTTACTATCCTTGAACGTCAGCTAGAGCGAAGATAGCTGAAGCCAGGTGGGTATTAGTGAAATGAGTTATTCTTGGTCCATTCCTCACATCCCTATCATGCAACACAGAAACCCCAGTCTACAGTTCAGCCTCAGTTTGCAACTGCAGGGGTTCTGTTGATGTCTTTTTCTCACTTTGAAAACAGCAAAACTTCCACAGTGAACACTGGTGGAAACACTGGTGGAACACTGGTAATTTCCAGTAGGCTCCAATCTTGATGCCCTTCAATGATTTTTTTTTTCCCCTTTTTTTATATGCATTGGAATTATAGTGACTTATTTGATGTTTGGCAATGAGTTGAGTATATTTATGAATAAACATTGCCATTATATGCAACAAAAATTTCACTCTTAGCAAAATCCATTTGCTCTGAGGAAATAATATATCTCCTAGTCAGTAGGCTCTGGACAAAATAAGACATCCTACTGTAAAAGTGCACCAGTTTAACTTTTTTTGAAAAACTGAAGGATGTTGGGAAGCCAGCAGCACAATAAACAGTTTCACAGTTTGCTGGGCATGCTACCTTCTGCATTCTCCACTGGCACTAAAGGCGGCTACTTTACAAATGGGAAAGATTTTTTTTTCAATGATATACCTCGCAGCAATCTCAAAGGCAATGGGAACCTTTATTTTGAGTATTTTCAATATATTGACATTGTCCTTTTATGCAAACTTAACTGTAAAACACTCTTGAGATACTGCATAGAAAATACAAATAGGAAAAAACATATATACACTTTCATAAAAATAGAATACATCTTGGCAAAATTGCTTGTGTACAGTGTATTGACATTATTGAACCAAACTTACATCATCTTTGGAGAAAAATGTTCCATATGCAAAAAAACCCAAAACATTTTAACTGACTGAGTTGAGAGTACTGAAATGGATATGGTTTTGAGCTAAATAAATGGCTATACCAGAATGTCAGAGTAAAAAAAAAAAAAAAAAAAGAAGTTATAAAATACCTGTTGTATAAAGTAGAAGTAGCCATGTTGTTTTTACTTCCAAAAAATAGTGACATCTTTAAACTTCCACGGAAATTAAATGTACCAGTTTCAAATTCTACTGAAGATTCTTTAGCTGAAAAAAAACCCTTTAATATCATTTGTTTCACCATTTTAACCATCAGGTATAGTCATATTTGTTTTTTTGAGCACAGAACACAGTATATTACAGCCCTAATTCTATCAGGTATTTGATAAGGAAAAAAAATCTAATAGATATAAAATTGCAAAACACTCAGCAAACTTTAAAATATGTAGACCACTTGAAATTACATTTTTTTCTTCTGGTTAGGCTTTTCTTTAGTTGCTTTCAGTAGAGGCTACTCCTTGTTTACTGCTTTGACCACATACTTCAGCTCATACTTTGATTTGCTCTGCTGGTTTTCAGAACAAACTGTGGAAAATGACTACTCCAGTGTAATAAATAAAGCAACTGGTAACACGTTCTCAAAGCCGTGGATTTTCCTCTTGAATTGCAATAATGGGACTGAGGGCAGCCTCAGGGAAAAGAAAAGAGCATAGCACCACTTTCAAGTGACATGGGTCACAACTGTTTGGCAGACAGTAGAGTCAGCTGGAAGTGGTAATATCCACCGGCATTTACAAATGTGGTTAAAATACTGTGATTACTGTCAAGTAGTTTGGGTGTTTAATAGGGATAGGCTGACACAGCTATATAAACAATGAAAGTTGTCCGATACTCAATACTTCCATCGACGCTGTAGGACAAGGCTCTGACTCCCATGCGGTAAGTCTTTGGCTCTCGCAGCGGTCGGGTGGTGAACACGACTCCTTTCAAGTTCTCATCTCTCAGGGCAAATGGAATTGCTGGGTCCTCGTCTGCCATTAAGAAAGTTGTCCTTGGATGCATGACTTGATCATGAGTATAGGCAACCAGACGGATTAAATCCTGACCAGCAGCTATGCCGAAGGGGAGGGAAAGGAGTTTGTATTCCAAGGCGTAGGTACTCAGATCACACTCCAAGTCATTGGCCGGGCAGTTTTTGAGACAGAACCTAGGAATAAGCAGAGGACTTTAGCCCAGGGAGAAGGCAAGTACTGCAACAGGCCTTAAAGGAGAAATGCTTCCCCTCTTTACCCTGTTGCACTAAGCAGACTAAACTTCCCTATGAAGATAGTATGCTCATGCACTATTTATCCATTGTTCCTTTAAAGTTGCAGCGCAGTTTAATGTCCCATTTTCCCTCAACAGGATCATCTCAGAAAGTGCCAAGAGGCCATATAAAGACAGTGGATACAATTTTTGTTGTTGAAGTCAATGGTATATGTTTTAGTGACCTTGCTCGAAACATTAGAGTTGGAAAGGCTAGTTTAAAATGTATTGGGCAGCTCCATTTGAGGTATCTGTGTGTTAGGTCATAAAATGAAGAATCTGGAATCAAGAAAGGCAGAGTAAATTTTACTTCTATTAATCAAAAATCAAAATAGGAGATCTCAACTAGCTCTGCTTCTCAGTGCTAACGAAGGTCAAAGGACATCACCCATTTCAACTTAAAAGTCACTCCAGTTCAGTTTGATCACAAAAGACAGTGCTTTCAACAGAGGCTGCTCCTTGCTTACTGCTTTGACCACATACTTCAGCTCATACTTTGATTTTTCTGCTGGTTTTCAGAAGAAACTGGAAAATGACTACTGCAAGCTATTTGCCTGAGTATATTAAAAGATTAAAATAAATTGTTTTTTCCAGAACAGGGAAATGAATAGAGTAACTTAAAACCAACAAAACTTACCATGAACTGTAGCATTATTTTCATGACTAAAAGAATATATTAAATGCTTTGAAACTGACAGCAAGTTAGGCCATTAGAGAAGTCAGAAACCTTAGATGCAGAGGTAGCCCCATAAGTGACAGATGACTGACACTGCCCACCAGGGTTCATAAAGTAAAGGAACTTTACGGTGCTCTTTCCTTTTGAACTAGTAGTAAAATGCTGCATGAATACTGAGCACCAGCCAACTCACCTGCAGCCACTGCCTTCTGGTTCTGGTGCAGGGGAAACATGGAATACTGCTGCTCAAGAAACCGATGGTCATCTCAAATGTTAAGGCTTTACCTTTTGCTAGTATGAGCTTTACTGGTGTCAATCAAACTTAAAGTTTCTTCTTTAACGAACACAGGTTAAGGATCCAACTTGGGGTGGGTGAAAAGGAGCTGACAATAAAACTTACCCAGAAAGAGGCTCTCGCTGATAGCTTGGTGGACAAGGTGTGTCTATGCACTGGTAACTTCCTCTCATGTTGAAACACATCTGATTTGATCCACAATTAATGTTCTGTTCAAGGCACTCATCGATATCTGAATGTAAAAAACATGCAAATGATTAGTTGCTGGTAGAAGAATTGAAGGGTTAAAAACTATCTGGGTAAAGGCTGAGCAAACTACAGACTGTGCCTCTACACACAGTGAAATCTTTCAGAATCCTGGCTTGCTGTTTGAGCCGTTGGTTCCAGTAATGCGTATTTATTATTGTTGGTATTTTATTACTGTGCAGGATGGCATATTATGCAAGGGCTGCCCTACAGCCATGATCCAACATAAACTAGTTGTTTTATCAAGAGAGGCTAATTAGGTCAATTTTTTTTTTTTAATTTTTTTTTGTGGATCAGAAAACCTGAAAGTACCTTCTTTTGACAGAGGCAGGTTAAGGATTATACCGGGTTTGACCCTAGAGCTGCTGTCTGCTTGCTTGGAGTTAAATGTGTAATGTAAGGTCACACAAGGAAACTTCAGAGAATAAGTTGCAATTGTCTAGTTCGCTGCTGTTTTATGAAGTGTTAAAATGTGAAATACAAAAACTTCCGAAGCTTGACATTTTGAATGCCAAATCTTATACATCAAATTCAAAGAGGTGGCATACACATGTACTGAATGTGATTTGTATCTTGTTCATTTACAAGTATATTCCTGAACACTCAAAGGGATCTCCGTACCTTGACAGGTTTTGCCATTTGGCATAAGGCGATAACCAGAGGGACAAGTACACTGGTAACTTCCCAGGGTGTTTCTGCATTCATGCTGACAGGTATCTCTGGTTTCACATTCATCAATATCTATAGAAAATAAACAAGAACATGTACACATCAGGATTATTTGAACCTGGTACTGAACTGAGAGTCCTATTTATATACAAGTGTATGGACAGAGTTGGTGGAAGTTGTCTGGATCTTGTTTTTTGATGGGGTTGAATGTGTAGGATGAGCAAGTCCTTTCACATCTTACCTTTATAACTTTTTAGTAATTAAGTCAGCTTTGAGGGGATCCTCACCTCTTTTGATACAGCCATAATATGTATTCTAGCTGCAGAGACCAGTCATGATACAGAGTTTTGGGAAGACAGGGGGGTGTGCAATCTGCATATGTCGACAAGGTTATACAAATACAGTCCTGCCCCAAAGAGCAAGCTGAGCTGCCTGATAATAAGGTCTTAGGCAATATGCTTATGAAACGCCCAGATTAGTTATCTTGCCAGAGGAAGCCTTGAGAGTGGGGGAGTTTTTCTTACAGTTAATTCCTCCTCAGGCAAAACTGTTTCACTTCCAAACTGATCTTCCTCGTGCCATGGGGATGAATTAAGCTCGGTATCTGGAAAGACTATCAATAAACACTCTTCTTAACAATTTTTTTGAATTTCCCTCTCAAATATAGAAGTACCAGACTACTTTATGTAAAATTTTCAAAGCAGACTAGTGTGATTTAGACACAATTATATATAACTATAATTTCTTTTGAATCATAATTATACTTCTGCCTAATTCAGGAGAGCAGTAGAGATCCTACTCAAGTTAGTTTCATGCAAGAATTAAGACTTGCATGATTAAAACAGTGGAAGGAAGGTCTTTGCTTCCCCTCTCTTCATCTGATTGACAGGTCTTGCAGTAGATAAAAATGCAAACACAGAAAACAGAAGTGACTGGAAATGTATGGTATGTTATCAAATCCTGATGGTTGTCTATTGAAAGAACTTTCTTTTAAAAAAGCATCATTTCAGTGTATTTTTCATATTCAATAGTAATTTCTAAATTTAGATGTTTATTCAAATGAAACAGAAGTACAAGAATATTAACTAATTCAAACCAGAAGCTGGAGTGAAGATGACAGATTTTAGCTTAACCCTTCCATCAGCAGTAGCTGTATTCCTAGGTCTTTCAATTAAACTGCTATACCCATAACAAACTGCATATATATGACTACTGAAATGTCTTTATAATGGAAATACAAGGTTTGATGTCTGCCTATCAATATTTTTTTTAATAAAAGTATCTTCGCATTATTCAGCATTATATATTATATATTGCTAGATAATTGTATAAATAATTCTCATTGCTACAATCTAGCTGTAGATCACTGTATTTATCCTGGAAGGATACTGTACCTCCTACGAAGTGTCACTGGCATATATGCTAGGTGGAGGCATGTAGCTAATGCACCACAAACTGCTGTCTTAAATGCACTGGGACAAGTTCTAGTGAGGCCTAGACTGTGGTACCCTTAGTCCTGAACTCGTCAGTATTATCACAAAGTAACTTTTTTTTTTTTTCTTAAAATACTCAAACTGTGAGCTAAGTTGGCAAAATCTGGTTTGAAAAGCATATTTCAAAAGATGAACTGAGTTTTTATACCCCCATCTGTCCTTTGTGTAAAGCACAGGTCTGGCAATCCTTCTGGAAAGACAAGGCGAGCCCTGGCTCAGAGCACAGAGGTGGCCCCTCTCCTCCCCAGGGCTGTTCGGATTTACAGGGCTGAGAGGGGAATGCGCTCTAGGGAGGCTGGGCATAAGCGCCCATTTTCTGGCTCTAGACCAGCAGTTACAGAGGGTCTAGATTCACAGACCCTACCTACTGCTGCAGGAGAAAAACCTGACATTTCTAGCTTTTGAGCAATAGTTTGTTGGGGGTTTTGTTTGTTTTTTAACTTCTTAATTTCTTCATATTTAGTGCAAATCACCCAATGAACAGTACAGGCTGCTGTTCCTTTTGAGTTTCACAAGGAGCTGAATTAAATTTACAGTACTTCGCTGATAAGCCTCTGAAAAGCTCATGGAGTAAGGAGGAAGTGAGCTAAATGCGTGATAGTTAGAGGTGCCAAACACCTTTGTTTCCTGTTGGTCTTAGAGAGTGCTCTGAGGTTTTGCACCTCTTAAAAAAAAAATAAAAAATTGAGCCAGAGCTTGCCAGTTACCATAACTACCCTGCTCATCACAGAAAAAGAAGTGGCAGTGCTGTCATTGTCACAACTTACGACAAACCTCCTATTTGTTTACTTATAATCAGTCTCTCCACGCTCAGTGAATTACATTATAACCTGCTATATATCATAACTACAGATAATTTAAAAGCTTCTGCTTATATGGCCCATATGGCAGTGACTAACAATCCTGTAGCAGTGCTGGCATTGGCCCTAGTGTGCTCAATTCTAAAATCTTGATTCAAAACCTTTTTGAACCAGATTATTACTACCATCAGTGGGAGTCTGACATAAGCAACATCTGCAGGACTAGACTGGAACTACTGGTGTTTATTTGAACGTGAGAAGATTCACCAAGGTGAGCTACTGTAATCAGAAGAAAGAAGGAAATATTTTGCAAACACACAACAGGCAGCACAATTAAAACAAGAGGTTGCAAGGAGGAGGGTTGAAAACATTTTTGCTACAACATGCTCTGGAGACAAGAACATGCAGAATTCTCCAAATATTTATCCGGGTAATATGAAAAATACCCACAGTACCACCATCAGCCCCTGGTATATATGAAACAGTAACCTAAGAATAAGGACCAAAAGAAAAGAATTTCATAGATATGACTGACATTTACCTACACATCTGTCATTTCTTGCCTCATAGCCTTCAGGACAAGTTTCTCTAATGTTCCTTCTAGTCCTGGAGAAAGGTATTCTGCTGTTTCTATACTCTGAGAAGGAGCTGTAGAGATTTGAGGAGTGCCTGTAATATTGTTGAGGTTGATAGTTGTCTCTCACAGGGGAGAATTGAGCATAGTTATAGCTATTGTAATAGGCACCATAATTTGGCAATCTCTCCAATCCAGCGCAAGATTTCCCGTCACCTAATAAATGTTGTCCAGGTGGACAGATACACTTGAAGCTGCCGGGGGTGTTGGTGCATTGAAATGCACAAGGTTTAGGCACTTGTTCACATTCATTAATGTCTGCTCATGTGACATGATCCAGAGCAACAAACCATGTGGAAAGGAGAAAAAACAAACAAACAACAACACGTAACTATATGTATATATATATACATATATACTTATCGCAGTCTGTGGAACAAACTGAAGACACAAAAGTGAGATCTTGAAGGCAGTAAAATACAGGTAATTCTATCCTGTACAGTAATATACTTTTATTCTTCCTGTAAGGCTGCTTGTGACGTCAGACTGTGCTCACGTAGGACAAGAACTCTGCTGAAGGAAGGTCTTGCCTCGAGTGTTACTGAAGGTAAGGTGTAACTACAACATGGGGATCCAAATCTGTTCCCCTGCTTTTGCAAAAGCAGGGCCATGTGATAGCCTGAAAGCTGCCAGCTGCAGTTCCTGACGGTTACCAGAAAAAATGCATTCTGGGAAGTAAGTGGCCCTTAGGACTCACATTGTTCATCGTTTCAGCCCAAGATGTTCACTACTACTTTCGCATTTTTTTTTTTTTCTTAAGCACTCCACAGATACTCATCTGTGAAAGGAGGAGAAGCTGTTGGACCCTTCTTTAAAGGAGGATACTTAACACAGAGCATTCTTGAGAGGTACAGCGTTAGAAATTCATTCAAACTGGCACAGAGGGAAGCTCAGAAGTTCTGATACAGTTTTTGTACTCTGCATCAGGGGAAAAATCTGGTCTCAAGGCCATGTCACAGGGCTGTAGGGGAAGGAGGTCAAGTGTGTTCTAACCTTTCATGTTGTTACTGGTCATTCCAGCTACGAAAGGTTGGAGACTTAACAATTAAGTATTCACTTACGTACAACTAAAAAATAGGAATATTTTTGTTTTCCTAAGGAATGCTTTTTTTAAAAAAATCAGTTTCCCTTTAAATTGTAATCCTGAGTAATTTGACCAACCCTAGCAGTAAATATCCATCCTAAATCAAAACAGAGTGGTGAGCACACAAAGGTAAAGGGTTTAAGCATATAACATGATGAATGTCTTTCACTCAAAATAAAGTAAATGTGAGTGCTCTGGGATACTGTAGGACCAGGCCTCCTCCCACAGTCTCTCTGGCACTACTAGAAAGTTTCTAAAATTTTCATCGAGTGACTTCAGGCCTATCTGAAAATTTGACACATATGGTATTCCTTTTCAAACTTCCATTAATTCTTTAGTAGAAAAAGACAAAAATCTGCTCATTCCAAACAGGAATGTGCAACTCCGCAATGACCAGAAATAAATAACCTTATATTAACACACATAACAGCATACCTATAATTGACAAATCTCATAAACCTTTTTTTACTAGAATTTAAAGATGGTCTTAATGATGACTCAGGAAGGGCTTAATTATATCATATTAGTGGAAAGTGTGTATTCTTTAACTTACTATTGTAAAAATGCCATTAAGCTAGTGTTATTACAGTTTCATCTTGGTTCCCTCTGAACATAGTATTTTGAGCGTAGTTTGCAATCCTCCAAGGCACAAATGCATGATAACGGTATTTTAAAAGTAATACTGTTCAGAAACATAGTAGAATATTAGATTGCATTTTAAATAAGTGTTTAATACTTTATATATTTTAAAGTTTTAAAGAATTTTTGGGTGTATTAATAATTAAATGTTTTGAGAGTTGGAATTCCAGGGATAATTATTGAAGAGTATCGCAGTATTTTCCAATCGTTATTTCACAAACACAAACTGAAACTTTGTATATTAGTTGAAATATCATTAGGATGGTATTTTCAGGTATTTTATAAAGAAGATAACTTAATTTTTAATATGGTAATGACTAATATGAATTTTAAGTATATATTCTTTCATTGTGTGCTTAAGATGAAAAACATATTACTCAATACACGTACTTTTACTGAAACTCATTATTTCCTTGGTGCTCAACTATTTTTTTAATTGCTGAGTTTAACATTCTTTACCTGTATAAAATAGACAATAGGTATGTGCACCAACATCCTTAGAACAACCAATGTCCTTGGTACAAGTTGTGGATAGGTAATATAAGACTATCATAGAAATAATGAAAGAAACCAGTTGAAAATTTGACCAAGTTATTTTGTAGGATCATCGTGTGCCATGCAAGCAAAAGTGAAGGCAGCAAGTCACTTGCATTTATACCATAGCCATCCCTGTGAGAAGTGATTACTGACTGACTGGTAAGCCGCTAAGAATATTAAATATTTACAAGAACAAGGTGAAATTACTTTGAAACTAAAATAGCTAAATTCTCATGCTTTTCTTAAGCTTGAAGAATAATATTTGATTTTAAATTCTGGATAGCCTCACAGGTGTTATATGCAAAAATGCCTTATAACAGCTTTTGATAATGCCCTTTCCATCTATGATATGGCATGTTTAGATCCAACACAGTTCACAGACATATTGTAATTTAGTTAAAAGGTCATGCATATATCTATGGGTGTGGTGGTGACAAATGAGCATCTTATCCCCATCTAACAGACAGGGAATTGTGGCACAAAAGACCTTACACAGGCGAAGAGTGGCACAGACAGAAACAAAGTTCAACTCTTCTGTTTCAGTCTGGGGCCCTACTTACTTTTCAACTCTTCCCTGTGCTCACATTAACAATAAAAACTGGATTTTCTAAACACATGTGAACTAACATCTTTGACGAACCTATATTTTAAGTATATTTTTAAGCATATAAAAAATTCAAAGGTGCATAAAGGTCACACTTAAAGAGGGAGCTTTCAGTGATGCTTGGTCAGAAGACAGCTTTAGGACAGCTGCTAGTGTTTTGTGAAAATCTGTAGTTCTAGCCTTCATCTAGCTTATTACTGTCAGAAATTTAAATGGGTTTAATATATGTTAAGGAGCCTGGGATTGATTTTATTTCAGTAGAGAGGCAGCTGGTGGAAGTAATATCTTGGTCTACAGCCAAATGGTTTCTTACTGTGATTTAATCTCTTTAAAAAAAACCCAAAACATTCCTGGCTTTTGGTATTCCAAAATCTTAGGTTGTTTAAAGAGAAAAAAAAAATCCCATTCTCCAAAGCAGCTATTTATCACTTATGAAAGCTAATCTTGAAGAAGTCATCATTGAGGAATGCATCTCTGATATGATGTATGAGAGCAACTGAAACAACTTCACTTAATGGCACATACCAACATTCATAAATGATTATTATCAGGCTGGATCAGCTATTCTATTTTAAATATTCTACATAAATACAAAAAGTGTGAATCTAAATGATCCTAGTGCCATCCTGGGGTCTATTAAATGCCAGGGGAAGCGTTTTATGCACATGCACTGACACCACACATTAAACTCTCTTGCTATCCACGTTAGAGATATGAGAGCACCCTTCAAATGCTACACGTGTGCATGGGAGAAAGCTCTGCACGTTTTTATGCCAAAAGGTTCTACGTAGATAGCACAGGGCAGTACCCACATGGTCAGCATTCCTGTGACTGACAGGAATGCTCTTT